TCTGGTAGCGGCAGGAATTAATGAAGCACTGATTTCCCCAGGCCTTGATCCCAGCACTGGCCTTGGCTTTGAGACGTGACAGAAGAAGCCGAGGGGGAGTGGATGCTGCGGCTATCAGAGCATCACACAGGGCAGGGAAGTGTTGCTGGTGGTCACCCAAAGGCACAAGGTGGATGGGACGGCCACAGCCACAGCCACATGGTCCTACACCATCACGCTGTGCCGTAACCTCTTTTGGGCCAGGCTTGGCCCCAGGCATGTCAGAGGACCACGTAGCTCCTCTTTCCCACCCCACAGATAGCCTGGCTTGCCCAAGACTTGATTCACTTCTCCACTGGATCTCATCTTTGGCTCCATGTGTTAGGGCAAACTTTTAGACTTGCAAGGTGCTTTTTAGACCTAGATTATCTAGGCTCAGGCATTAGCTGCCTTTGTGGCTTAGCTGAGGCCAGGCAGGTGTAAGGCAACAAGGGTTGTCCAAACTGGGAGTTTGGGTGGGTGCGTGGGCAAGCTAAGAAAGACAGCAGACCTTGTAAATGTGTATGGTCAACAGAAGAGCATGAGGAACGAGTATGGAGAGGGAAAGGAAAGGCAAAGAAGGGGAGGGTGGAAATACCCCCCTGCTTTGCTGAGAAATAACTCAGTTTAGATGCTTGCATTGGGACAGAGGTCTTTGATCTCAATGACATTTGGCCTGAACCAGTTAATGGGAGACTGCACAAAACCAGAGTAAGTTTTCTGCTTTGCTGACACAGATGTGACGCATTGCTCATCTCAGAGCTGCTGATCTGAAGTTGCTCTGAGCTGTCATCGTCTGCCACAGCAACAGCATTTAAATGAAAGGAAGAGCCAACAGGACAAGGAAAGAAGGATTTCTGGCTGGTGGGCAGCCTGACAGTGAACCCAGAGAAATTAGTCCTCCACGGCTCCAGATATGAGCAGCCGGAGCTACTGGTGCCACCAGGAGGAGCACGTCAAGGAGCCTCATGCAGCGGGGTGGACATGGGGACATGTGTTTCCAGCTTGGCCTCAGGTCAAAAGCCTCTCAGGCCTGGTAAGGACTTCTCTCTGCAGCAAGAACACTGGGCTTCCCCCTCCGTCTTCAGCTGGAGGAGAGAAGTGTTTGCAGCAAAGGCCGCTGAAGCTGAGGAACCTGCTAGGTGTCTTTGGCGTAGGCCATAAAAACACCATCTAAGATCTGGCTGACTCCTCTTCCTGCAAAATCAAAGTATCCCAATGGAGAAGGAGGATCCTTCTGTAGGATGAAGACCAAAACTTGAGCTTATTGAGCTGGCAGAAGGTCTCTGCCTTGCTGCTCCCAGAGCAATGTTGCCTTCCTGCAGCCACTTCTGGGGCAGGTGGTGGGGAACGTGGCTCATGGAGAATGCCATTAGTGGCTCTGGAGCTTGATAGGCACACTTTCCAACCTCATGGTCTTTGCTGCAGAAATGTCCTCAAAGCTTAGCTAATGAAAATGTCAGCCCTGCCCTTGTCCTGGGGAGTGAAAACAGAAGCTGGAGTGCCATATCTGGACTGGTTTTTAGTCATGGATTGCTCTCTGCTCTGGCAGATATTACTGTCCAGGCAAAAAGCAGATTAAATCCATGCATCAAATATTCTTGAAGCATTTTATGGGCAATGCTTGTCAGTTCCAATGCAAATGTGATCTAGGACCAAACTGCGGCTTGGGAAAGAGAAGGAAGATGTGCTAGCAGAGTAATCATTAATAGACACTGATAACATGAGATTCTCCATTGCATTGAATAGGGGTGAGAGCCTGAGAGCCAGATTTTGGTGTTGGTCATGGTGAGTTACTTGGAGTAAGGCTGCTCAGCTGGTGTCAGCAGGGTGACACTGGATTTACCTTGTGTATGCGAGACCGACGCACAGACTTGGAAAGCAGTCTCCAGCAAGGCCCTTTGTGGCTAGATACAATGAGCAGAAGAGGCTAAACTTGAAAAAACATAACTCAGAAATGTAAAGTTCTGTTTTGCGCTGTTATTTGTTTGCCAGGGCTTTCTGGGGTCCACCAGTACCATGCTTGGCAAGGACTGTCTCTTTGTTGTGCAGGCTGGTTCAGTTATGCCAGCTGTATGACTTGATGACTGCTAATAAGCATAGATCTGCTGAAGTATTCCCTAAAGTCTTTGCTTTGCCATCAAAATCCTCATCAGCAATTGGATTAGTTGTAGGGAATGAACAATTACAACACAAGATAGTGTATTATGTTAAGACAAATTGATGGGTTTTATTTAATCATACGGTCCTGGTCATAGCTTGATAGTATTTTTCCTATGGAGGGAAATGCATCATTGCACCAGTAGGTACCAGAAAAAAAACTAAAAAATGCTTGATTTAATTGACTACTGCCTCAAACTAAGGCAAATTAACTCTCTGTACAAAAACAGAGTTAGGCCTTACTGTAGGTTATGTTGGCTCTGTATGTCTTCCTGCCCAGATATCAGAGATAAAGTTTGCACTTTCTGGACCGCAGGGAAATGTATGACCAAGTTCCTCGCAAGGACTGTCTTGGTATGGGAGGAAAAATTCAAGTCAATTGAATTTTGCTCTTTAGTTCATCATGGGTTTGGCATCAAAGGCCCCACAGACGGTTCACTAAATCAGACTAAGGCCTCCCAAGATACAGCAAAAGGCTGGAAATCCTTGGCTAAGGTTGCACCAGGCATCAAGAGACGAGAGAGGTGCATAAGATGAGAGACTGGCTTTTTCTGCTTATGTGCTACAAAATGTGTCCCAGTAAATGTGGGGGAATATCACTGAGCTTCTCTGTCTTGTGTTGCCCTAAGCCATTTTTGTCTGAAATACAACCAAACTGCTGCCTGGTGGCACTTGATCTCTCACCTTGTCTTCAGGCCCCGCGAAGACCTGCAGGTGTAAAATTGCTCACCCGTGACTTGCTGTAGCAGTTTTCCATTGGGAGGACCCATGGCCATTAGAGGTTGAGCAATTCACCATGAGTTGCTTTGCAAGTACCCGGCAAACGCAGCAGTTAGGAGGCATCTCCCCTTGATTATGGTGTTGTTCGACTTTAGCAATGGGCCAGGGCAGCACAGGATCCCCATGTCATTACTCAGCCTTTACTTGTCAGTATGGTGAGTTGGGGCCAAGCCAACAGCAGCAAATGTAACCTGCAGTACCGGGGGAATGGGGTATGTGTATGGTTCTTGGGTCTGGGTTTGCAGCTCCGTCACTGGGGAACGGCAGGTCTGATCCCACCTCCTCTGGTTTTAATGAATAACAGAGTCGAATCATGCCAGCATTTGACAGCATGAGAAATTATCACCTTAAGAAGTTCTGCTGCTGGTGACACACATATTTGTTACCCACTGCCTCTCTCAGAGGGGCACTATGGAGGACTGGTTTGTATTTAAGAGATGCTGTGTGTAATTACTTATGCACAGTTTTGCAAACCATTCATTTCTGTTAGGTCCTCTCCCGTTGTTTCTCTTGCTGACATCTGGCTTGCTTTGTGCATCTTCTGTTTCCATATGGGCATGAACAGAAAGCGCTCGGGGCTCCCTGAGCTGCTGTGATGGACTGGCCCTGCCTGCCAGCAGAAAGGAGAAATAAGCAGAAGGGATCTGGGTGAAGAAGGCATGATGTGCCTGCTTCTGTCTTGGAATGACACTCAGTGTCTCTTGGTGCTGTCGCTCCTGGATATTTTGTGTCATTCCCGAAGATTAAAAAAGAAAGAGGAATTTTTTAGGAAGATGAGGTGTTCAAAACACTGCATAAAAGGGTAGGTGTCCTACCCTGGGGCTGATCCTCAGCAAAGAGGCATCTCCAATAGCCACACTCAAGTCTCATCCTTCACCTCTGAGTTGACTCTTCGCCTAGTTTAAGAGCCAAAAGTTTTGCCGCGACGCCTGTAAGTGCTCTAGGAATGTAGGAATTAAAGTGTCAGATTGGGCCAAGGGCCCATCCAAGCAAAGATCTTGAGCGAGGTGCAAGCCAGTGCCAGATGTTTTGCAATAAGCCTCCGCTATGGATATCTTTCACACCTCATTTCTTCCTCATTCCCATCAGTCTCATGGCTGGTCTCATAGCAGTCCATGTTGTGTTTCCTGCAGCCGCTTTCTCCCTGCATGCAGCTCACGAAGATGGGCTATTGAAAGACGCATGGTCTTAATCCCGGCCCTCTGAAGTGGAAGGTGTCTCATTCACGTCCTGCAGTCAGCGAGAGACAGTTTCTTAGAGCAGAGATTATTTCCTTGCCTATGGGACATTTTTAGACAGGCAAAAGAAATACCTTGAATTGCACGGAAATTCAGCAAGCTTTGAAAACTTTGGTGAGCTCATAACCCATGAAAATATATTTCAGAAAACAGATTATTTTTTTTCTAAAATTCTGAGGCTATTTCAAAGAATCATAGAACAGTTGGGGTAGGAAGGGACCTTTAAAGGTCGTCTAGTCCAGCCCCCCTGCCATGAGCAGGGACACCTTCCACTAGATCAGGTTGCTCAGAGCCCCGTCCAACCTGACCTGGAATGTTCCCAGGGATGGGGCATCTCCCACCTCTCTGGGCAACCTCTTCCAGTGCCTCACCACCCTCATAGTAAAACATTTCTTCCTTCTATCTAGTCTGAATCTCCCCTCTTTTAGTTTAAAGCCATTACCCCTTGTCCTATCGCTACAGGCCCTATTAAAACTTTTGTTCTTTTTCTCTTTAAGACAGGCAAAACAAAACAAGCTGAAGTACTTTTCATCAGTATACACTTCAATTTGGAGCCAAAAAGTCACTCTGAACCCAAACCTATGTTTTGGTTCCAATGGTTTTTGGAAGAGAAAAACTATAAGTCAAAATCAACATTTTTCCATGTAATCGGCGTTAACTGACCTGTTCTCTTTTTTTAACCCTTTTGGCAGAGGAGAGAAACGCCTGTTTGCCCAATTCTTGCCCCGGATGGGCAACCATGGGGCTGGGCTGCCCTGGCCGCCGCTGGCCCCCCCCCGTGACAGCCGTGCATTTCTCTTCCAGGTGCTCCTTTTCAAAGGTCTCAGCATCCCCATGCTACCTCCTGCCGGCACTTCCACCTGGGTCCCCAGCCTCAGCTCTCCACCGACTTCACCCTGCCTCACGCGGTCCAGCCCCAGCCGGGGCTGACCCCCCACATGGCCCCCGCGCACCAGCACAGCGGTCCCCTCCACCAGCCCTTGGCACCGGTGCCAGCCCTGCCCTTCCAGGACGTGGCCGGACCCTCCTTCCTACCTCAGGCGCTTCACCAGCAATACCTCCTCCAGCAACAGCTTCTCGAGGCACAGCACCGCCGGCTCATGCCCCATCCCAGGTAAGGGGATCTGACTCTTCCCCAAGGATGCTGAGAAGCGACGGCAGCCTCTCTTGAGCGAAGTGGCTTCTGCAAAACCCCGGCAGTACGCGGCGGGAACCTTTCTTCAGAGGTTCGTCTGCGTAACCCCCCCAAAATGCATCCAGCGGAAGGGAAGTTGCAGGGCAGGTTGCACCTCCAGGTGTATCTTTCCCATGGGGATCCATCCCATGCTCATCTCGCACGTCCCAAGGTCACCTATTCTTGTCACTTGTAGGAGAATCGTGATGGTAACACCTTGGTGTTGCAGTAAACCTGTCCTGCGCGGCAGAGAGAGCGATAGACGGCGTGCACGAGCTACCTCCTCATAGCTGCTGTTTCAAAACCGTGTAAGAGATTGTATCCACCTGTTCCATGAGGTTTTGCACATGAAGAGCTCGCTGCCCTGGGTCTAGGTAGGCTTCCCAGCTCTGTGAGGGGATGATGCTGTTGACCCGCAGCACATTCAATTGCAGAAAGCAGCCTAAATTCAGACTGGGCTGACGGCTGCAGAGAGAAAGACTGTAACTCAGCAGAGGTGGAAGTAGATGCCTGGCCTTGTCCTGATTGTGTTTCTTGAGAGAGGGGTTTAGATAGCATGTAGGAGAGGAGTGCTTTTTTTGGAAACATATGGAAGCTATTTGTGGGTTGTACCCATGGATCAGGAATCAGAGGATGAGTCTTTGCGATAGTGCTTCATTTGGAAGGAATGCTACAGATGGAAAACACTTTCTTTCCATTCCCTTTTTGTGTGAAAATTGTGTGTTCTTCTCATCCTTGTTTTGTTTTGCATAAGCTGGATTTTAGGTGGATTTAATGATTAGTTAATAATTGGGTAGCAAATATGTTCGAGGCTGATGCACCGATGATACAAGTGTTTATCTCTTAGTCATAAGCTGAATTCAAATACAAGCACGGAGCACAATTCCATGCAGAAGCTGCTTTGGTAAATGCTGTCAGTGTTACATTTGCAAGTGGGTTGTGGTGTGGAAAAGGGCAGGAACCTCTTGCCCAGTCCCACAGCCTGTTTCTGAAAGCACAGCTGCATCGGAGGAGGGTGTCAGAAACGTTACAGGTGTGGGGCATGAGGTCCCAGTAATGGGAATCTGGGTCATGCCCTTAAAACTGAAGCCTCTGAACTGTGGTTGCATGAAAGATTCTTTATCTAGTAGTTCCCTGCTCCGTTTTCTCCAGTGTTTTCCCATAGCTTTGCTTTGCGATGGTTCCACTGGTAAGCAGGGAGCAAGGGGTATGAGTCTGTCTGTAGTGCAAATCCTGCTTGTGTATCCACCTTGTACCTCTCCAAATGTGGACACTGATCAAGCAGCCCGTGCTCTTACCCTGAGTAGTTCAAATGGGCAATAATCACAAGACGAGACTCAAATCCGTAGAAAAACCCTGCTATATATTCTACCGCTTTCCCTTCCCTGCCTGCAAAGACAGCAGAGCTGGCGGAGAAGGTGCTGGATCCCAGCCTGGCCTGTCCATCATCCAGAGAAATGTTGGCAAAGGCCAGCGAGAGTAAATTCTGCTTTTAGTTACTCCTGAGTAATCCTGTTATGAATGAGGTTCCCCAGGAGTTTATGGACTGCATGGGGAGATGAGGCAACCTGCAGCTTCTTTATGATGATGGATAACGGCTGAAGCAGGGACATGTTTTATCTTGTATGTTGTTTATGGGGCTGACAGTGGAGAAAGAGAAAATACTGCAAATGGCACAAAGCTGCTAAGGAAGAAGTTGTTCGGTTGCCTCTTTTTCTCTCCACGGTGCCATGAAATAGCATCCTCTGTAAACTGAGTGGATGCGGATGCCGCAGGGGGTGAGCGGAGGTCTGCGTTATGTCCGTGGTGACCACGAGTAAGTGACATAGCTCTGGGTTCCTCTTCCCATCATCCCTGACACCTACCCGGACTCTTTCTCTTGGACACATATTGACAAGCCCAACCGTTTGGGTTTTCCCCTGGTTTATTGACACGGGCTCGGAGCAGGAGCTGTACGTACTCGTGCCCGTCGCGTGGCTAACTCGCTTGCTGGTCTCCTCCTCACCGCAGGCGGGCTCAGGAGCGCATGTCTGTTCAGCCTCACCGTCTACACCCCAGCTTTGACTTCAGCCACCAACTGCAAACTCCACAACCCATGGGGCCCCAGCCCAGGTATTTAGCCGAAGGCACGGACTGGTAAGTCTTCCACATTTTGCTAGTGAGTTGAATGAGGTGTTTAAGAAGTCCTGGGGAGGCTGCAAGGGTTGGTGAACATCATGATGGATCAATGCTTTCGTGAAAGCTAATGGTTCAGCTCAACAGATACAATGTGGGGGGGTGCGCGATGGGAAAATTAATCTCTGGGAGGGCCATGAGTGTGTGCTGAAGCCTTTATGCATGTATATGATAACATCGAGGCATTGATATCATAGAGTGCAGCCAAGCATTAATCTTCCCCAGGGGCTTTTCCTGCTGCAGGGCACAGCCAGCGTCTTTCTTCTGTACACCAACGTCTCTGCCTGAAGTAGATCTTCTGCTGTCCACCAGGCACTCAAAAACCAGTGGCCACAACTTCCTCTGTGTTCTAAATTAGGGAGCACCGTGCTGTCCTGCCCCGCAGGGTGGTGTGAATGAATTAATAGTTGTTAATCGTTCTCCCACTGTAGTGTTCGATAGCCTGGAAAAGCTGAGCGAGGAATTGATCGTTTTGTTTTCAGAGCAGGTTTTGGGCTCTTGCGCAGTTAATAAGGTATGGGCCCCTACTTGGAAGAATAAGAAAATAAAAACATACTTCTGAGTAGCTGCTTGTTAGCTGAGCAAAGTCCATTCTGTGCAATGAATGGAAAAAATAGCATGTGAACATGTAATTAGAGACAATCGCAATGTGTATGCACAAGGGGACGGAAATAAAAAGGCAGAGGAAATCTTAATTATGGCATTTCCTAGCATATGAGCACTTCGCTCTGCAAATGGAGAGTCCTTTTAACACAGGGGGTTTTTTTCCCCCTCCAGCGTAATAATACACAGCCTAAAATAATGGCCAGATCCTTCTGCCATTTTCTTCTCAGGTGTTCCCATTACTGGCACCACTGTGAACTGAATTTGGCCAGGATGACATTGTTCGGATCAGTTTGCAAAGCGGTTCACATACCACCCGGATAGAGCCATTCTTTCTGCCTCTCTTTCTGCGCAGAGTGTTTAATTATAATCATTAAAAGGATCTGATAAAGCGTCGCTTTATGTTCCACTCCTCCTCCCTCCTTTTCCCCCCTGTGTTGCTCCATAGCCTTATAAAAACCTAAGGAGTGGGGATGACAGAAAACATATACTGTGTACATATATTTGGGTGACTCACTTCCCCTCGGGCCACATGTACAGTTTTGCCCAGTGACAGATATAAAAACTTTCCTTTAATGTGTTGCCACCTCATGAGCAGCAGCGGCGCTCACTCGGAGGCAGTAGGTGGTAGGCACCGTTGCGGGAAATGGGGATGGAAAGAAGATCTGAAGGTGATCAGTCATCCCAGACAGCCCAATCTCCATTAAAATCTTCCAGCGAAGAATAAATAAATTTCCATTTGGTTCCTTAAATCATCTTCTGCACGCACATTGGGTGACGACCATCCAACCTGTTATGTGGAGCCTTATCCTTCACTTCTTGGTTGTTGGCAGCCCGTGTACCATAAGTATCGCAGCTCTTGAACCTCGCATCTGAGCATCAAGGTGCTGTATAGCAGCACAGGCTAGAAGGTGATGGTTGGTTTTGATTTCCTTCAGCTAATGTGCTCTGCTTATTCACCCCCAAACCCTGGGAAAACAGCATTCCATGCAGTATTCTGCTTTGGACCCTTCTGTAGACCCACAGAATCGCTTCAGGAGCCTCGACACCCAATTTTAAGGCTCTAGCTGCACCGGTGCACAAACAGTTCAGCAGTGCTGTCATTCCAATTACTTGTGCGAGTTAATAGTGGCCATTCATCTTTGAAAGATCTCTTCGGTCCTTGTTCTCAAAGCACTCTGTGGATTATCACGTCTATTTTGTAGACAGGGAATATGGGAAGGCAGAGAGGAAGAGGTCAAGGTTATGCATCAGGCCAGTGACAGGGCTGGGAATGGACCCAAAGCCTCCTGATTTCCACTTGAGCCTTCCATCCACCTGGGAACAGTCTTAAGAATTGGATAAATCTCCACAATTGTGACACGGGAGCTGGAAAATGCCCAGCCCTGCAGATTCTCACCCTGGTTGTGTTCCTGCCAGGTGCCTGCTGTGTTTTATCCTCTGCCAGGTTTTGTCTGTCTAGCACATACATGGCTAGCACGGGGCCAGCAAAATTGTCCCTCTCTTTGCGTCAGCTTGATGTGGGGTGTCTTATTAGGGGGTACTAGAGGACTGGAGCTGCTGCCTGATACACAGGCTGTTCTGGGTAAAGGATTTCTGCATTTACTGTCCCCTCACGTCTCTTATCTGCTGTTGGGCGAAAATAGTTTCACAGCTGCTGGAGGACACGTCTGGGTTGCTCCTAACCAGCCGTGGCACTCGCTGCCGCTGTCCTCCTCACGGGGGAAGAGAAGTTTGAGGCTGAAATGGGAAGCCACCCCTGTGCTCTAATTAGCTTTGCTTTGGTAAATGTGAAGACAATGGTTATTAGAGCGCCAGCTTTGGTAATTATGATAAAGTAAATGACGTTCAAAGCACTTGTTTGCTGAGAGACTCCTTGGCTGGAGAGACGAGGGATCAGCTAATTGGATTATAGATGGAGATGCTGGGTTAGGTCTCCTCCCATCCCCTCCACATGGCGTGTGGATGGGGTTGCAGTTTGTTTCTGCACGCTTGGATCGGGCAGAGCTGCGGGGTTTTCTGGGATCTTGGTCATGCCAAGTCCTGGGATTGAGCTGGGTTATTTTTCTGGAGGAAAAAAGTGCCCAAACTCACCAAGCTGAACCCCAGCTCTGCTTGCCTGGGCCAGGCTGCATGTGGGCAAGTGGGACCATCGGGGATGTCCTGCTTCACTGGTGCTGGCCCGCTGGTTGTGTGACACCCTTTCCTACAGCAGTCTCATCCAGAAATTTCTTAAAACCTTTTGTATTTTCTGCACGAACAGCAGTTCTGGAGTTCCCTGAGGCTGGGGCCAGGCAAAGTGTGGTCTCCCTTGTTTCCCCATGTCCTACCATGACGCAGGCTGGGAAACCTTCAAAGAGAGCAAAGTTACAATGAAAAGCCCCCTGAGAGTGCCTAGCTGGCTTCTAACAACTACCCAGAATGGTTCATCAGTGTGTCCCCAGGGTAATTAGCTGTATTTCTGCAAAATATTCGAGACAGAATGCAGTTGTTTGTAGTGATGGCAGCACAGGGAAGACCTGGTCTGGCTAGGTTGAGTTACCGAGCTTGGATATCGAACGGAGCCACCAAAATGTTCTTGCTCTAAAATTAGCGGGCTGCATCTGTGCAGGTCTTGACCCTGGCTAACACAAATGCTAACCGGCATAAAAACAACCCCTCTTTCCTTTGTGCTGGCCTGGTGGGTGATTGCCCAAATTGGGGGAAACTCCCTTTCCAGCAGTAGCATCACCCCAGGCTGAGGAACCCAGAGCAGCCCAGGACCCACCAGGGGAGCTTGCCCTGTGAGCAGGATCCGACCTGCTGTAAGCCATCCAATAAAACCGTGCGGTCAAAGCCGTATCTTCATCCTCGTGCCCACAGGGACCTCAGCGTCGATGCGGGACTGACTCACGCCCAGTTCCAGGTCCGGCCGGTCCCTCAGCCCTATCAGCATTACTTAGCTACACCTCGGATGCACCATTTCCCCAGAAGCACATCCTCGACACAGATGGTAAGTGAAACGCTTTTACCAAGAAATGTTTTAAGCATTGTCTGCCAGAAGGCAGTCAAAATAAAGGCTGCTATCTTTCTATCACCTGTCTTCTGCGAATCCTACTTATCTCCGGCCGTGGGAGGGAGTGTCTGAAAGGGTAATGTTGCATCATTGCACTCTGGATTAGAGAAAGGAAAGAAAAGCTCAGTTGCTCTGGAAAGATTCGGTCCATCACGTGCAGCACCACGCTCACAAGCTGGTCTGCAAAACCTGGGCAGGGTTTGAGAGACGCAGCAGTTATTACTAATAATAAAAATACTAATAATACTGGAACAAATTGTGGGCTTCCAGGACTTTTTGTATGCAGAAGGATTAGCAGTAGGTGACTCCCTTCCTTGGCTCAACCCCGAGGACCGTCCCTTATCACATCGTCGTTCTCTACATCAGCCTTGATGCCATCTGTAAAGGTTTTGCATGACCTCTTGCACAGATGGAGGTGGGGTTTGACGAGAAAATGGGCTGACTGGGGTCATTTGCTGGCCCTTCTCCTAACAGGGTGCTGTGTTTGGTGCTGAGCCATGCCAAGCACTGCTAATCCTCAGAAATCCCACAAGGGTGTTTTTGCCTCGTGCCCATAGCCGGACCCTGACGCCTGTGTACTACAGCAAGGCTTAAAAAATCAAAGCTTGGATGAAGAGAAATCCACCCATTTAAAACTAAATAAAATAAAATCTCTTTTTAAGCTAATCCATGTTGAGAATCTGGAACTGCAATGTTATAAATGCAACAGGAATTATTATAACAGATAGTTTATTCAGAAGAAATGCACGTTCTTAGTTATCATTTATAGGAGATCTATTTAATAAAACCTCATTTTTTGGTTATTAAAAGGCTTCCACAGGGGAAGGTGTCGGTCTGCTCTTTCATTGTGAATTTTTAAAGCACTAGATTTAAATCAGGGTACACAAGGGATTTCTACGTGCAAGTACAGGTGGCTTTATTTTCCTCCCTCTCTTCTTGCAGGTTGTTCACGAAATCAGAAATTACCCTTATCCTCAGCTTCAGTTACTCGCTCTTCAGGGACTGAACCCAAGCAGGCACACGTCTGCTGTGCGGGAGAGCTATGAAGTACGTGTCTTGGGGACTAGAATTATTATTAAATGTTGAAATGCTGGGAATCTACGCTAGCTCTGGCATAAACTTGTAAGACTGTTTTGTGGCATGGCAGTTGCACTGAGTCTTGCAGCAATTTTAGTAATAACTGGGAGGCAAAGGGGTTGAGTCAGTTTGGTAAAAGTTGGTTTACTCCAGGGTGCCTGGGTCTGGCTCGGGTTGACTCTGGCTCCCTTCACGTCTGTGAACAAAGTGCTGTAGTTCTACAGGGTTTTTTTCCCCGGCCTGTCAAATGGAGCTCAAGTTCCACCTTAATTTCTGAAATACTGGAGATCCAGCTCTTAGCCTTGAACCCTTAGTTATTAGCCCAAGTGCTAGAGCTCAGATCCATCATTAAAGCATGACTGATTTGGGTTTGATGGACATTTCTATCAAGGAAAGGGCAGGAGGGAGCCTTGGTCACCAGGAGGTAGGTTGGGGTGGTGGGACCTCGTGTCCCGGGAGCGATGCTGATGGCAATTTACTGGTGTTCCTGTGCCGCAGGAGCTGCTGCAGCTGGAGGACAGGCTGGGCAGCGTGAGCCGGGGTGCCGTCCAGAACACCATCGAGAGGTTCACCTTCCCCCACAAGTACAAGAAGGTGAGCGCCCCAAAACCGCCTCACGGCTGCCAGCCCCTCTCAGTTGGCCAAGGGTTGTGGGCACAGAGCGGACAGAAGGAAGGATGTTGGTGGGTCGCAATCCTCAGGGTTGGCAAACTGGCGCCGTCAGTCGAAATATTCCCCAAAATGGGGGAAGAATGTAAAATCCAGAATCGATGCTTTAATATCTTGTGGGGCTCCCGGGCTGAAGCGGTGGTGTAGCTCAGCTGGCTGTTTCTCACTTCTAGGCTAGGAAGCTGCGGGCCAAATTTTCAAAAGGGTCTCAACCTTCTCCCACCCAGCGGGTGCAATTTCACCCCTGTCCGCACCTGGTAAGAAAGTGCACACACCAAGGGGGCTTCGTGCATGCAAACCCACCCTGTTCTGCATGCAAGCGGCGCTGCCCGCGCACCCCGCCGTGAGGGCGCGGGCTCCATGGTGTGGGGGAGGTTGTCCTCCCCTCGCTTTGTAAGGGTTGTCTCCTCTGTTGGGAGCTGATCTCCTGCCCCTAAGGAAACGGGTGCCGTATTTTTTGGGTCGTGCTAAGTAGAAAATGGGGAAAATGCTTGTTTGGGTAGTAATTTCACGTGTTGGTCATTCCCAGCTGGGCAGTAACAAGTAGGGATGTTGCATTGCCCTGGTTGGAAGTGAGTCAACTCCTCCTGCGCTTATCTCTGACCGCATCTCCAGTGGATCCAGAAAAATCATATTGATAGGAATGGATGTGTGGAGGGAAGAGGAAAGGGGAGAGCTGACAGGCTAAGCACTGCCCCATGGCGCAGCGTGGGGCTGGCCCAGTGGCCAAGCTGGCATGGGGCACAGCGGTTGCCCTTCCTGGCAGTGGTGGCCCCACATGCTTTGGGGTCTCCAGGAGAAGCCTCCAGCAAAGGAGACCATGGGGCTAGCCCCACTGCAAGGAGGATGGACAGAGGAGGTGGTGGGGGGCTCTGTTAGGGCAGCAGAGGACAGGGTGCTCCTTGGGGCACTACCACCAGGCCCACTGCCACCAGCCCCAGGAGGAGACGTGCCGACCAGCAGCATGTTGGTGGCATCCTCCCCTCACTGGCTTTTTTGGGTGGGCTGGCTTCCCCAAGCTGGAGGATCTGGCTGACGGATGAAGCTTTTATTATTTACCTTCCTGCAACTACCAGGGCTTGGGAGAGCATTAGAAAGCCAAGTCCTAACCAAATTATGCCTTTAACCTTGCTGCAGAGAAGACCGCAGGAGGGCAAAGCTGAGCAAGAGGATGGAGAGGAGTCGGACACCGACGAGAAATGCACAATCTGTCTGTCCATGCTTGAAGATGGAGAAGATGTCAGGTACGATCCTTCCATCTGCTCCTCTGACTCTGTGTGCCATCTGAGTTGTGTTTATTGGGATTAATGGTGCCATGCGCTGGTGGGATTGTCCCTGTTCTCGTCCTGACAAACTCAGTTGGGCTGTTGCAGGGTCTGGGAACCTAAATGCCATTTAGATGGACATTGGTATGGCCTGGAGGTAGGAAGAGCAGCAGAGGGGCCAAGTTTTTGTAGTCGGGTTTGGATCACCTGCTTCAAGGCTGTGCCAATGGGCCAGGTGGCAAGTGTCAGAGAAGGACGGGTCCCAGGTCTCAGACAGCCATCTGGAGCTCAGGGACATCAATGTCTGAGCCTGACAGATGACCGAAGTATGATAAAAGGGAGTGCAGGTGTGAAGTCCAGGGGATTTGGGCTTGTGGCCAGGAGGGAGCTGCTTTATTGTAGAATAAGTGCAATTACCCCACCTGCACGGTCGCAGGGAACCATCCTGAGCCAACAATAAAGCCCCAGTTAACCCTCACAGACATCCCCAGGCTCTTGGTTGGGTCAAATCTCTGCTTCTGGATGGGGGACAGAGGATGGGGACAAGCAATTGCAAGGGGCTGAGCTACCATGGCTGAAGGAGGTGCAGGTAGGCAGTGCAGCTGCATTACATGGTCCTGCTCCTCACCCTTGAATTGCCTTAAACCATCAAGAAAAACTCTGATCTTCTTGCTGTGGGTCCTTGCAGCTCAGGGTCCCTCCGGCTCATGAGGGTGAGCAAAGGTGATGTAGGAGAAAAGCAACCACAATCCCTGGGGCACACCAGACACCCACATAGGAGTGCCGGGGACCCACCTGACTGCTAATGAGCCGCGACGATGAAGAACCAAGAGGCTTTGGAGTATAACCTGATACTCCTGAAAGGTTGAAAACAGCAGCCAGGGTAATTAATAACTGGAACAACTCAGTTCAGGAGGGTGTGGGGTTTTCTAAAAGGCTTTTAGCCAAGAAGGACATCATCTCAGACCTACTGCCCTACGTGAGCTGGCGTGGTTGGGGAAGGCTGTACTGGTGTCCCTACATCGGTGCTTTCCCATGCTTGAAGCAGCCCCGGCTGCTGCTTTCTGGCTTCTCTTGGTCCCCTGGACCTTCTCCATCCTAACGGGGTGGTACTTCTCTCTCTGCAGGCGGTTGCCCTGTATGCATCTCTTCCACCAAGTGTGCGTGGACCAGTGGCTGGCCACCAGCAAGAAGTGCCCGATCTGCAGGGTGGACATTGAAACACAGCTCGGCTCGGACAGCTGAAAGGACTGGCTGGACACACCATTTTCCTTACCAGGTCATATGGCCATAAACCCTTGCAGCAAAATTTTTTGCCTTCTGAGCCATTTGATTGAGAGGAAAAGTCTGCAGGCACGTTAGTGAGGAGGAGGAGGAGGTGGCGGTACAATATCTAGCAGTAGGAGATATTGCACATACGCAGGATACGGGCCCGGTGAAAGGGAGCTGGCATTCCCGGAGCTCAGAGACCCCGTGCTGCAGAAGATTTAGTGTTGAACATGAAGGAACTAGTTGTGGTAGTCTGGCCTGTCAATCCTGCATTTCATGAGGATTGTATATATACCTCTCGAATACGTAGAAACATGTTAGGGGTCCTTTAGCTATTTCTATGGATGGCAGCTGGAGCATGTTAGCTTAAGAAATGTTGTGTTTGATGCCCTACTCATCTTGTGGTGGACATGTTGCTGTTACCTAATTTGCACCAAATATTTTTTCATAGATTCCTTATTTTGGTGCCTGATTAATACATTGCAGAGGGGGAATAGAGGTCAAGCTTTCTCACCCTTGTGGGGGAAGAGGCGAAAAAGCAAAATCCTGTTTACAGTCAGAAGGGTTGCGCTCTTTGCCTCAGCCGCGTGTGCTTCCTTTCCTTGCATTTACAGTGTGTTGCAAATTTAGAGAAACTTAAAAAAAAATAAAAATTGGGAATGAAATGAATGAAGCAATAAGGAGAAGCTTCGTTCCTGCTTATCTGCTGGTGCTGGACACTTTCTGTAGGGGCACGATATTGGAGTAGATGCTGTTTCTTTGCTTTCCGTCTCTTAGCGATAGCTTGGCATATCGAAATCCAAGGAAGGGCTGTCTTCGTAATTTCCGTTGCCCATGATGCTTTCTCCTGTGAGCTGTGAGGCTGGTTGGCTTCAGCAGCCACTGCCAGCACTGGTCCAAAAGGATGGTTACTGGAGTTGGTGCCTATAGCTGTGCTTTGGGGTATAATATCACCAGAGAGGTGCTGAGAGATGTACGCTGCCGAGTCCTCTCCCACACAAAGCCATCTCTGCTAACGGGAAAGGAGAAAACTCGATGCTGGCAAGGCACTGCTGAGGCCGTGAGCATTTTGGCACGGGAGGGGAAGGCAGATTGGAAGGGCAGTTTGCTGCTTTTTGGGGGGGCTGGGTTGTGACCCTGCTTCAAAGCACGTGCACCTGCACCCGCGTGCATTTGTATACACAGGTCATATCCATACGGAGAGTGGAGTGGTTGTTAAAATGAAACTTAATTGCATTAACGCTCAAAACAGAATTAGGAGGTGGTCCCCAAAGGAGTGAGCTGTTGCGGTCCAAGCTTCCCCTGAAATAAAGACCTCGGCATGCCAACCACAGGGACTGAGCTGAAAACTCCCCGGAGAACTGACATTCACAACCAAAAACCTTTTTTTTTTTTTTTTTTTTTTGCATACTAGGGGAGCAAAGGGAGAAGCAAAGGAACAAGGGGAATTAGTCAGGAACATTATATATTGAAAATACTGATGTGGCGGGAATGATTTCTGGCTCCCCTGAGCATCTGTTTTGCTGGAGACAAGCGATGCTCTCCAAGAAGAACAATCATAAATTACCTTCTGAGAGATCACGGACTTCCCGTGAGCTGTAATTGGAAAACACCAACCTCAGAGACAACCCAGAGATTTTTTTTTTTTCCCAAATGGAGAGGGGACGGAAAGAAGGGAGCCCCATGGGGTGCAAGGATGCAGGAGCTCCTCTCTTGCTGTGCCCATGCAGGTGGGAGGGATTGGAAGGGGACACATGGTGGTATATAAGGAAGATAGAAGGACGAAATATTTTACGATGAGGGTGGTGAGAGACTGGAAGAGGTTTCCCAGAGAGGTGGGAGATGCCCCATCCCTGGGAACATTCCAGGTCAGGTTGGATGGGGCTCTGAGCAACCTGATGTAGTGGAAGATGTCCCTGCTCACGGCAGGGGAGTTGGACAAGATGACCTTTAAAGGTCCCTTCCAACCCAAACCATTTTGTGATTCTATGATATATTTGCCACCCAGCACAGGTGATGGCTTCTTGGGGGAAGTGGTGGTCCCAGCCCTGATGTCCATGGGTCAAGGAGTGGTCCATCAATACCTATGGGGCTTGCTCCAGCAGCAGCAGATTGAAGCAGCATTAAAAATAATACTAATATTACTAATAATATGGACAAGCAAAGCAAGGATTTGCTGTTAAAATACACTGTAAGTTGGTCTGGTCTGTCCAGGCGTGAGCCGGGGACAAAGCAGGGGGAGGAAAGGGGCAATTGAGACCCTGGCCAGGTGGGGAGGGAACGAGGAGCGCTTCCGAACCGCGTGTTTTCTTAAAGCCTATGCGAAAGTATTACTATTTGCCTAATGAACAAGCACAGTTTTTAAAAAAAAAAACCAACAAAAAAAAAAAAAACCCTTTGGTGAAGAAAAGCACCAAACTCCCATGGTCTCGTGTGAGTGACTGATCCCAAGGTGCGTGCGAATTTACAGCGTCTGGAGTTGCATCGATGTGTCAGGTTCCTTTGCGTTTAAATAATTTGTACGAGTAGGATGCGATAATAGGATGAGTTTAAAAACAAAACGAAACAAACAACAAAAAATCTCTAGGAACAAAACATTGATAGTTTACAGGGTTTTGTGAGTTTAAATGCCTTATATTTAACAATCATAATTTATGACTAACTTGTAGATATTGTGGGTTCTTATTTAATTATTTTTATAGTTGTTTTTTGCATTTTTAATTATAATTTATTTATTTAGAAATTAATACTAATTTTTTTTATTACTCCTATTACCTCATTTTTGCATTGTTTCTGGGAATGGAATGCTTTGCATGCGTCGGTACTTTAAAGAAAAAAATTAAACATGGGATGTGGGGGGTAATGCTTATCTTATCAAAAAAAAAAAAAAGAGAAAAAAATCAGGGTGTGTGATTACAAACTGTATTACTGTGGTGCTGTTACCTTGGATACATTCCATAAAAATGCAAACCTTTGATTCTGTATGCTGTGACATAGTGGAAAACTGCAATATAGTGACTGTGTTTAGCACATATATATGAATATTATTTGCACTCATAATCAAACTCTGGTGATCCTTTCACTTGCGTCCTTGCGCATTGAAGGCGATTAACGGCGCTCTGCAAAACCAAAACATTCTGGTCGATTCTTGCTACTGCCCTGTCCCCGACGCCGCTGGTGATGCTACTGCTCTTGCTGCATGTGTTACCCTGCAGTAACGCCCGACGGGCCCCCGCTACAAGGCTGTGCTTGGGGCGATGCATGCGTTTAGTGCAAGACTCTGCAAATTGCTTCAAAAGCCGAGGAAGGGAGCCCAGGCATGGTGGCTTTGTCCAATTTTTGGTGCCTGTCAGTGCTCGGTCTGGCTTTTTTTCACCCTCTGTGCGTGCACCCAGCTGGGCGCTGCGGGGAGGATGAAGGAGGTAATTGATTGAGCCTGAGCTAGGAGGCAACAAAACTGAGGGATTTGTCGCAATTTTGAAGGGTTGACCCATGGTCTACCTGAGAGGGGCTGGGATGGACGCGGGAGCGATTCGGCATCCTTTTGTGATGCCTGGCCGTGAGAGTTTGCCATAACCCAGCCGTGAACCATGCACGGAGCAGAAGCCCTCAGTGCTGATCTTCTTGCTCAGTTGGTTTCATCCCCCTCTGTTAAAGGGGAAACTTCAACTTGGAGCTTTTTAATCCACTGAAGAGCTGGGACGTGCACCGCAGCCTTCCCATCCCCAAGGAGGAGATCAGCCCCAAGCTGATACCCCGCTCCTGCGGCAGTGGCCAAGCATCCCCATCCCCACACACGGCTCTTGCAACGCGCTGCCCTTTCCCAAAAGGCTCCGGAATATCATGTGCTTGAGCCTAGCAAGAAGGTTAGAGCATCTTTGATAATATTTTAAGCTTTAAGCCATAACCCCTCTCGGTCAGCGCAGATGCTCGGCCATGTATGGACAGAAGTGGGGTTCAATGCATGTGCTCAGCCAGTAGCTGACCCCCCCCCTCTCCCCCAAAAAAAGGCTTTGGATGCAGTTCTCCTTTGGATTAGAAAGGCACAAAATGACTGTACCTGAATTTTTTTTCTCTCTCCCTTCAGGGTGCTGCTCTGCTTTGCTGACTTTGCCTTACCCTGGGTTTAAAACCTGTCTGTGTTTTTTTTTCCTTGCTGCTCTCTAATATTCCTCCCCTGTAGCCTGGAGCTGCGGTTTTGAGCCGTTCAGGGACAGGGGGTCGGTTGTTCCCCCTGCAAAGACACTGTAAAAGGGATAAGTAAAACAAGGAGCGAACAAACAAAATCCTCTCCTTTAATGGCCCAGGCTGGTGAAAGGATCACCCACATTTTTGTACTCCTACTGCTGTTCTGTTGTGCTGTGCAACATTTTGCTACATAGACTATTTTATAGAAGAAAGCTAGAAAAATATTTATTATTAATATTAAAGCAATAGTGCATTGAAGAAATGAAAAGACATTAGAAATTGTGTAAATGCTTAGATTCACTTTTGGTGGATTTTTTGTACTTTATTTATAACTAATAAAACAAACTGCATTGCTAACTATAAACCTGTGCCACGCAGAAGTCACCTGGCAGGGCCATCGCTTGGTCTTTTTTTACCGTTCATTTCTTGTTTCTTTGGGTCGGAGTCAATTCTTCTTTCACTGCTTATGCCTTTGGACTTTGATATGCAAAAGAAATGCTGCTGGGGTATAAAACACTCTGCCCAGCTGGTTTGCAGAGGCTGTTGGTGCTTGAGCTCCGTGGCAGAGGCGAGGTGAGACTCTCCACGCCGGGCACACCACCGCGTGTGATGTGCTGTGGCACCAGTTTTGTGATTAGGCACCAAAATCGCTTTCTAGAACCAGGCTGGAAATTGCCTGTTAAAGGGAGATTGCTCCTCTAAACACATCCCACGGTGCCTGTAGGATGTCTCTAGCAAGTCCTGCAGCGATACCGACAGGTCCTCCGTCCTCCCCGTGGAGAAGCATCTCCCTCCATGTGGGTCTCCTGTTTAATAACTAAGGAAAGAAAAACTTATTGGAAGGAAAAAAAAAATAAAAATCCTCCAAACTAATACAGATATATTTGAGGGTATTTTCAATCCTTTTGTTACCTGTTGGAGAATCCAATGGGCCATACACCCAACTCTGCATCCTGCACAGCTCATTTTGTAGGTCCTCTTGCACTTTTATTTTTTCCCACAATGAATGGTGCCCATCTCTGCTCCTACCCACTCGCGATTCGGCTGTTCCTCCTCATGCATTTCATATAGAAAGGCTGAGACCGGTCCCCAGCTTGGACTATGTGATTAGACTAAATAAGCCTTGGAGACAGGCGGCTGCCAATCCTAGAGATTTGGTGCCGGTAGCTGAAGGGAATTGCCGGCTCCTCCAGCATCCAGCAGAGGCTGCATAAGGGATGCATCGTATTCAAGCAGTACAAAGCTCCCATTATAGGAAACTTTTACAAATTCAGAAAACGGGTTAAAAATGACCTGTTGGTCCAGCCGGGGAAAATCTCAGTTGCTTGCTGAGATTTTGCTGATGTCCTTCGAAAGGATAACAGCGCTGGGAGAGTTGCTTGAGATGGCAATCGGTTTTTCGTCAAAGCTGCTGCAGCAAACACGCCGCTGCAATCTGATAACAGC